TTTGCATTTAAATCTTTGATTCATTTATAATTTATTCTAGTTTATTCTAGATATAATAGAGTCAACATTTTTTTGCAGTGGTTATACATGCCGTGTCTACCACATTTATCAGATAGTCCATTTTCTACCCACTGACATGAAATGTCACCTTTATCACATATTCAAAAACACTGAAAACTGTACCGTAAAAATGCAAGAGAAATTATATGGAAACAAACAAGTAAATAAGACTGAGAGACTGAGCCTGGTGACTACATTTTGAGTAGAAGATTTTTTTCCTGGATTTAAGAGACAGGATCTCACTACGTAGCCCAGTGTGGTCTTGAAGTCATGGCTGCCCTCCTGACCCAGTCTCCTGAGTACTGGGATTACATGTACCACGAGGCCCAGTTCAGGTAGGCATTCTCTGACAACTTTCTCATTTTTTCCCATGCTTACAAATCTGTTTAGCCTTACTTTATCTTCTGGAATTAACTTTAGACATTTGTATTTTCCCAAAAAATCATAAATTTCATCTAGATTTTCAAATGCTTTTAAAAGAAGCTGAACAGAGAAGTAGAGAAGTGGGCAAGAAGCCCCAGCCCTAGCTGAGGAACTATTGGCAAGTGATAGCTGCTGGAAGAAGGAGCATGTGTTTTCCTTAAGGGTGTGACCCTGGGTAAGTTAACCAGACTCCAGTGGATGCATCCACGCTGAAGGGCATTTGAGGACACAAAATTGATTAATACACACACACACACACACACACACACACACACATGTGTATATATAATAGAGCACATAAAATTGAGCAGGGGTGTTAAGGAGGGTACAGATAGGGCACAGGGTCTAAATATGATCAAAATATATGTACAAACTTCACAAAAATTCAGTAAAAAAATTTTTAAAGGAGCTGAACAAAGTATTTATCATTTGAAAAAAATTTGACTATAATGGTTCATACCTATAATCCCAGCACTGGAAAGGCAGAGGTAGGAAGATCATCATAAATTTAAGGTCCGCCTGATCTGCACACAGAGTTTCGGGCCAGCCAAGGTTACATAGTGAGACCCTCTCTCAAGAAAACCAAACAAAACAAACTCTCCTTATCTGTAGTGAGGCTATTTTATTTTATTTTATTAATTTTTTTTTTTTTTTTGGTCTTTTCGAGACAGGGTCTCCCTGTAGTTCCAGCTGTCCTGGATTCACTATGGCGACCAGGCTGGCCTCGAACTCACAGAGATCCGCCTGCCTCTACCTCCCAAGTGCTGGGATTAAAGGCATGGACCACCACACCCAGCCTGCTATTTTACTATTTATGACTATGATTTACCAATCTACCTCTTTCTGTACTTGAGAAGGTTTATTTACCAATTTTTTCTTCTAATAACACTTCATTATCATGTCTTAATTTTGTTTTATAGTTCACAGAGATATAGATTTTTTAAATTTTTTTTAAATTTATCTATTATTTTTATTTTATGTGTATGTGTGTATTGCCTGCATGTAAGTGCGCCCGTGTCATGCAATGCCCGCAGAGGTCAGAAGAGGCTGTCGGATTCTCTGGGACTGGAGTTACACACAGTTGTTAGCTGCCATGTGGGTGCTGGGATTCAAACCCGGGTCTTCTGCAAGAACAACTAGTGTTCTTAACCGCTGAGCCACCTTTACAGCTCCTGAGATACAGATTTTTTAAATATTCTTTTTGAGACAGACTATCACTATATTTCCCAGGCTGATCTCAAACTTCTTAAGATCTCACATTACAGATAAGTACCACTAACCCATAATTTTTTATTTACTATTTTAATTAATTGTTTGATAATTTCATAAATACAATGAATTTTGCTCACATGCACTCCCTACTCCTCCCACTAACTCCTCTTAGTTCAGCCCCCTAGCCCCCACTTCCTTTCAATTTCATCTCTTTTTTGAATTAACCCATTGAATCCAATTTGCACTGCCTATATACACATGGGTGGGGGCTTTCATCATGCACAGGAGTATATCCAACCTGCCAGGGACCACAGCCCTAAAGAAAACTGACTCTCCCTCCCCTAGCAGCCATCAATTGTCAATAGCTCCTCAGCTAGGGGTGGGGCTCATGCCCCCTGACCCCCACCATGCTAGAATGTTCACTAGCTTGATCTTCTGCATGCTATCACAGCTGTTAGTGAGTCATGACTACAACTGTTCTGTCATCCTACTCCTCCCCTATCTCTGGCTCTTACAATCTTTCTAGCCCCATTCCAAGGTGTTCTCTGAGCCTTGAGGGAGGGTGTGTGATATAGCTGTCCTTTTTATGACTGAGCACTCCACAGACACTTATTCTCTGCCCTTTGACCAGTTGTGAGAAAAAAATTATTTAAAACTTAAAAAACACACAATGAAATATATCTTTTCCCAGTTAGAATGGTTATTATCAAAGAGACAGAGCCAATCTGGTCATGGTGGCTCATGTCTTTAATCCCAGCACTTGAAAGGCAGAGGCAGGTAAATCTCTGTGAGATCCTGGCCAGCCTGGTCTACATAGTGAATTCCAGGCCTGCTGGGGCTACAGGGAGATCCTGCCTCAAAAAAGAAACATAAAAAAAGACAAAGTTGGCCAGTCAAATGGCTCAACACATGCCATCAAGCCTGACATCTGAGCTCAATATGCAGGGTCCACATGATGGCAGGAGCAAACTGACTCCCACAAGTTGTCCTTTGACCTCCACACATGCATTGGGAGACACACACACACACAATAAATAAATAAATAAATAAATAATAAATAAATAAATGCAAAAAAACTCTTAAAAACTAGACAGAGCTGGGTTTGGTGGCACAAACTTATAATCCCAACACTGGGATAGAAGCAGGAGAACCGAGAGTTCAAGGCCAACTTTAGCTACATGAATCCCTGTCTCAAAACAAACATGGGCCAGCAAGATGGCTCAGCAGGTAAAAACACTTACCACATAAGCTTGATTACCTGTGTTTCATCCCAGCACCCAAGGTGGAAAGGAGAGAATCAACTCTGGAAAGTTGTCCTCTGACCTCTATACATGTACTGTGGAGCGCGCGCACACACGCGTGCACACACACACTAAAATTAACTAATTAAATTTTATTTAAAAACAAAAATATACCAACAACAAAAAGGACAAAAACAAACAAACAAAAAAAAACATGGTGGCAAGGACCTTGAGAAAACAGAACTCTTAAATAGGAATAAAAATTGGTGCAGTTAGGGCTGCAGAGATGGCTCAGTGGTTAAGAACACTGACTGTTCTTGCAGAAGACCCGGGTTTGAATCCCAGCACCCACATGGCAGCTAACAACTGTCCATAACTCCAGTTCCAGGGGATCCGATAGCCTCTTCTGTCCTCCTCAAGCATTGCACGACATGTGTGCACTTAACCTATATGCAGGCAATACACATATACACATAAAAATAAATAAAATATTTTTAAAATTTAGTGCAGTCACTATGGAATATAGTAAGGGGATTCCTCAAAAAACTAAAAATAGATCTACCATGTGATCTCATTATACCACTTCTTAGAATCTACCCAAAAGAAATTAAATCAACATACTAAAGAGATACCTGCACACAAGTGTCTTGCTACACTATTCACAATAACCAAGATAAGATTTTTATCAATGGATGAATGGATAAAGAAAATATAGATACACAATGGAATGTTATTCAGTCATAAAAGAGAATAATAGCCAAACATTTGCAACAAAATGAGAGAAGTGGAGGACCTCATGTTATCTTAAATAAGCCAGACAAAGAGACAAATCACATATTCTCTCATGTACAGAATCTTTAAAAAAGCTAATCTGATCCCAGTTTTAAACATCTTTCTGTGCTGGAAATTGAACTCAATGTCTTTTTAA